TCCTCAGAGCTGTTTATTGTTTGTTTATTGGCAGGTTATGGAGTCACAGCATGTTTCGGCTAGAGTGAAACGCTGGGCGGCGGTCCGTTAGCAGTTCCCCGCCAAACACGACTCCAGCTCGGGCACGAGAACCAGTGCCGTTACGGTGGAAACAGAATAACGGAGACTGGTCGATCACACGTGAATGACTTCTGTTTGATGTTGAATTTTTCTTCTAATGTTTGTTAAACGAGTTTAAATATAGGCAATATGTATAGCCTATTAAAAAAAAATTAATAAACCCATTAGCTGGGTTAAATCAACCCATTATGCTTGGTTAAATAAGCAACCCAAGATGGGTTCTGTCCTATATTTACCCAGCACTTGGGTTAATAACAACCCAAATTGGGTTGTTTTTAACCCAGTGTTTTTTAGAGTGAAGGTAAACCGCTTACCTGCTATCTTGATATTGCGGATGTACTTTAGCAGGAGGGTTCCATCAACTGGGTCCATTTTGGAACAGAGTCCCACCTTGCCAGGGCAGAGGTCTTTGTGCATGTTGTGGAGGGCGTGCGCCATTGCGTACACTGCATCAATCACGAACATCACCTTTCCTTCTTGCTCGTAGGACGAGTCTTTTCCAATCCTCTCTTGATCTGACAGACAAAAGAAAAAGTTTGCATCAACATCGACTGAAGTGTCACTTCTTCATTTTCACACTTACACCAGGAGAGCAATGGAAGAGACTGATGTTGCACAGCTTGATGCTTTCCACACTGAATGTGTCAAAGTTCCTTGCCACCTCAGAGTCTTCACTAATAATCAACCAATCAGCTGTGAGCTCGAGGCAACACTTTGGGAGAATTTTTGAATTTAATAAAATAATAAAAGAAATAAAACATAAAATAATAAAATGTTTTGAAATTGTCTTTACTTGGGGCTTTTCTCATCTAAAATAAAAGAAAAATAGCCAGAGGAACACACTTGTCATTTACCAACTAAGAAGACTTTTCAAAATATAATAATTTAGAGCGTGTTGTTTCTTTAACAAGCGCTGTGCACAGTGGTGTTACAGTTTTATCAAGGGTGATGCACTTTATACAAAAATGTAATCAATTTAATTTTATACACAAATTTATTCAGCTTGCCAGTAACAACACCACATGTTGTTCAGAATGCATTAAGGAAATATTTTGTTTCAGTTGCATGAAAGTAGAGTAAAGTAGACTTTAAGGATGTTCCTACATAAATTAATCACATGGCTAAGAACACACAGGCTTAGTCCACAAAAAAGCAACTTCCTGAGCAATGACTAAACCTGGCTTTTAAACACACAGGATGTAATTCTGCCAAAAAGTATTGCAAATTTTCATCAAGGTTCTCGATGAGATCAAAGATGACGCCGATGATGATGGTGGCCTCCGTGGCGTGCTCTGCAGTTGTTTTTGTTAGTTTGTCCTGTCTTTAGTTATATCCCTGCAATCAGTTTCACCAGAGACGAATTGCTGGACATTCGGCACTACACATCACCCGATATATTACCGGTTTTCGACTATTCTGATGTTTTGCTGGATATAGTAGTTGGCGGAGCAGCTGCGCTGATCAAACGCTTCAGGACGCGCAGACGGGGGAAGAGAGCCGGCGCGCTCGTGAAGCTCAGGCAGCGCGGATTTTGAACGCCATTGCCTAGCATCCATCTAGCAAACCTCCGCTCTCTACCCAACAAAACGGACGAACTCCTTCTGCTCTCCCGGACAAATAAGGATTTCTCACACTCTGCTGCTCTGTGTTTCACGGAAACCTGGCTGAATGACGCCCTACTGGACAACGCGTTAAATCTGCAGAGTTTCCAGCTGTTCAGAGCGGACCGCGACGCAGAATCAACGGGGAAATCGCGCAGCGGCGGGACATGCTTTTACATCAATGACAGGTTGTGTACAGATGTAACTGTGTTAAAGAAGATGTGCTGTTCAGATCTAGAAGTGCTCTTCATTAACTG